TCCATCAGGGATGCCTTCTAGATTTGGATGATCCGCCATATCGAAAATAATTTTCTTATTTTCTGTAACAGAAAAAGTGAACATTTTTACGAATATTTTTAGCTACAAAATCGCTTACGAATCTGCCCACTCTGTTCATCAAAATCGTAAGCCACAATTTTTCGTGTCTGACTGTCGATGTGGTACAATTTTTTATACTCGGGACACCAATCCAATCCGTTGCTTATGCTCAGTGATCTTTCCATTTCTTCAGCCATCAGACTGTCTCCGAATCCTGATATTTTGTAGAGCGAACCACCTTCCGGGGCTACTGACAAGTCACCATTTCGAGTTAAAGTTCCTGAAAAACGGTATATAAATCAAGATCGATTTGATCGGTTTATACACGAAACATTAAATTTCGCCCCAGACCAAAAAAAATGACGCAGGATGTTGTTGGGTTATATGTCGCTTAGTATAATATGAACAACTCCGATATTGCTGTATGAGTGTGCAATTTTTGTTTTTCAGAACCGATGTGTAAAGGTTTTGTTCACCAACGCGGCCAGCGCCAGGACCGGATTAAGTTTTGTTCAAGTTCGATTTATTCTGCAAAGCCTAGCATATCGGTAATCTTAAGATTTTGGAGTACATGTTACTAGAAAAAACTGCTCATTTTTACAAGATCTATATGTAGTGTAAAGGAAAGTGCAAACTTTAAAGTATAAACCAAAAAGATAACCTGAAAACATGTCATAACAACGTCCTACAGTACGCGTACCCAATTGGACATTTAGTAGACGTTATTATGACGTCGATATTTGGAGCAACCACTTCAGTTCGCGAGTTATCACCAAATTTCGACGTCATTATGACGTGCTTTAGTAAGTAATTTACCTTGGGAATATTATATTAACTTACCTAGCCAAAGTCTTCCTTTTGAGTCTGCTTTTCCATCATTAAACTGATTTTTAGGTTTACTTTCGTCTACGGTAATCAGATGCTCCAATTTCGCCTCATTTTCATTATCATCTGACGGCCAATACAGATTATACACGTTTCTATCAGCAGCGACAAGAAAGTAGTCTTTTTTATCTTTGATTGGAATGATAACGCCTACTGAATCGTGGTTTTCTGAAAAAAATTGAACCAATAAAACCTAAGGACTGAAGTGTATGTTGGACCTAGTTGTCTACAGGCTGTTGAAGCATTCCAACTAAGTAATTTCACAGCGTCGTTTTTATACTAAGTGACATATAAATCCGAACACCCAGTTTAAATGGTTTTATTTTAATAAAAGTTGGTGAATGTATGTATCTTACTGTAAATAACAAGTGAAAAAATTTTCAGCCCTATCAGTTGGACATTCCGGTTTTTATACTGCTTTTTTTTAATTCACTAACGCTCTAAAAATGAATATTTCAGCCGCAGTAAAGAATCAACGTTGGCGGATTTTGGTTCTTGACATCCTTTACGATCGGTTACGATGCCTAGAGTACGGAGAGCTGTACGATTTCATCAACTTAGTGAGTTTGATAGGGGCCGTATAGTGGGACTTCGGGAAGCTGGACTTTCTTTTCGGGCAATTGCAGTTAGAGTGCAAAGAAGTGTAGACACTGTGGTTAGGTGTTGTCAGGCATGGCTTCGAGAAGGCCGTACGCAAAGAGCAAGGGGCACTGGACGCCGCCGTAGAACAACAGACCGTGAAGATCGCCGCCTAAGATTATTGGCCTTAAGGGACCGTTTCTCCACTACCAGGTCCATTGCAAATGAATGGTTTGCAGAACACGGAAGACCTATTGGCATGCGAAGTGTTTACCGACGAATGAGAAGTTTTGGCTTGTTTTCATACCGGCCACACTGGGTCCTCCCTTTAACTCGAGAACACACCGACGTAATCGCCTTGAGTGGTGCAGACAACGGTCACTCTGAGATCAGGAATGGAACAGTATTGTCTTTAGTGACGAGTTGGTGGTTGCCTGGAATGAGATACCACAGGAGGACATTGACCACCTGATCAGAAGCATGCCTAGGCGCGTTGGAGAATGCGTAGCACATCAGGGTGCATCCACACATTATTAAAGGTCAAAGGGCTTTAA